TCTTGTCAGATCCCCGGGATATTCTTTTCACGAGATACCGTAAATGTTCAGTTGATTGAAATATTTAGTATTAGTTTCTTAAATATTTATTCAGTTGATTGCTTAGGATTAAGGTTTCTTTATCATTATTCTTGTCACATCTTACAGTTAGGATATCCTCTTGTAGATACGATGATTCGTGAGCACTTCATTCAGTGTGAACATCAGTCAGCAGTCTATGTGAACTGTGCAACACCAAACGATCCATCTTTTATAATGCTGCCATTGAATGAACTATTTTCATCGTTATCGCCTCTGTTTATCCCATTGAAATTCACTTGTTTCTCATCTTGTACCGGTGGCATTAACAGAAGAGCTGTTCACATCTCATTCGTGCTTAAGTCGAAGTTGGTTTATGATTAGCTTTTTATTATCGTTTTTATTGTCTTGATATTGTTATTATTATTATTATTATTATTATTAATGTCGTTTGGTTGTAGTGAACAAATAATTGGTTCCGATGTGATTTCGTTGAAAGTTTGCGCATGTCCATCGCGAGACGCTACGCTTGAAGGATATGAGCCCCGACGTAAGTTTTTATTTTATTATTGTTTTATTGGTTTTTCATATATGTGCATGATGATAATTATTGAAACAGCGAAGAAACGTCGAACAGTGTTATCGAAACGTCCAACCGAAGTGATTACGAAGACAATTTGTACGGAATCCGAGAAGAAGGACGCAACGGATCGTTTCCGTGAGGATGAAGATACGATATATGAAGTGCAGGTTAGCTGATTAGTATTGTTCTTGTTGTTGTTGTCATTATTGCATTTCAATAAGCAATTAGGTATTTATAGTTCTTGATCAGCAATCAGCAGTTTGATCAGTAATCTCACAGAAATCTGACAAATAATCTCACAAAATGAGTAGTACTATCTGAATGATTAGGCATCGTTATTGAGGAGAATTGGTTGATTTTGGGGTGCTTAAAGGTGCGTGGCAGACATCTGTATAAGTTGGTGTGTTCGATAATCGCGAACTATGAGCTGAGTCGACGTTATCTGAAAGAGAAGAATGGACTGGATGATGGTGATGACAAGTTGGATACATTGAAGTCACCGTCAACTCCGCTGACGAATCGAACGGCAATTAAAACGTTTGTACTTTAATGATTCATTCGTGGCCTTCTTATTGCGTTATTATTATCGCTATTATTGTTATGGATGTATTCTATTCAGGTGGCTAGCAAATTTGGACTTGTCGAAATATGAAGGCGCCTTCACAAGTAAATGTCTATTCGTGATCGATGATCTTGAAGGTGTTATCAATAGGAAGGTTGCTGGATTTTGTGTTGAATAATAATTATTTGTGCTGAATGATTATTAATTTTGTGTTGAATTATTTTGTGAAATATTATTAATAATTATTTTGTGCTGAATAATTATTTGTTTTTGAATAATTATTGATGTGAGCTTGTTGATAAACGATGTGATTTTGCAGTTTTTGCTATCAATCGGAGTGAAGGAGGAAGAAATCGGGCTGATATTGGAGTCGTATTTGTCGTGGTACGATGTCTACAACGCACAACGTCAAAGCAGTCTTTCATCGCACAGCTCAACGATTCGCATTCAGAGAACACGAGTGAGAAGTTCGACGCTGCATTTAGATTAGATGTTATTATTATTATTATTATTATTATTATTATTATTATTATTATT